TCTTTGTTGCCCAGCTGGAGTGCCATGACAAGATCTCGGCTCACTGCAACCTCCGTCTCCCAGGTTCAAGAGATTCTCCTGCCTCAGCCTCCCAAATAGCTGGGATTATAGGCATGAGCCACTGAGCCCAGCAATATATGTTAGTTTTTACAAAAATTAGCTGGGCATGGTAGTGCATGCCTGTAATCTCACCTACTCAGGAGGCTGAGGCAGGAGAACTGCTTAAACCCAGGAGGCGGAGGTTGCAGTGAGCTGAGATCGCACCACTGCACTCCAGCCTGGGTGACAGAGTAACTCTGTCTCAAAAAAAAAAAGGAGAGGGCCATCATACTTTATAATTTCAAACTATATTTCAAGACTCTGGTAATAAAAAACAAGATGCAATATGCGGAAAAATTTAAAAACCAATGGAACAGAAACCACTACTCACACACATTTCAGACATGATGCAACAAGAGAACTTACAAATGGTTGAACATAGAGTTTCTCAAAATATGCAGATATTTGTGTGTTCCTAAAAACAATGGAAAAGGAGTCAGATTGTGCAGTCTCTTACACGCCATGAGGAGGACTTTGGCTGTTACTGTAAGCTTCAAGGAAGATCACCAAAGGGAAAGTATAATCATTAAAGAATTTAGAAGCATAAGACATGGCTCACCCTTATAATCCCAGCACTTTGGGAGGCTGAGGCGGGTAGGTTACCTGAGGTGAGGAGTTTGAGACCAGCCTGGCTAACATGGTGAAATCTTGTCTCTACTAAAAACAAAAAATTAGCTGGGCATGGTGGCAGGTGCCTGTAATCCCAGCTACTTGGGAGGCTGAGGCAGGAGAATTGCTTGAAACCAGGAAGCAGAAGTTGCAGCTGAGACTGTGCCATTGCACTCCAGCCTGGGTGACAGAGTAAGACTCTGTTCAAAAACAACAATAATAATAATAAAGCATAAGAGAGAAGATGTTCCTATGTTGAAGAAACAAAAACAAAAACAACCCAGCTGTCCAGAAACTATTTTCTTTGGAACACAGCTTCACAAGCCACATTTTAAGGACCGACTTTATCTTTCACCATAGGACGTCTTATCTGTGTCATGTGTTGTATTCACTCTTACTTACCTTGAGGTTTGGCTCCCATCTTCATATTCCAGGGTTCTTTTCCTTTCTCCAGACACGTGATCAGGTCTAAATTAGATACAGAAACACCTGTTTTTTTAAATAAATAAATAACATGAATCTTGCTCATATTCTCTAGTTATTGACCTAGTAATTTTCTCAGTAAAGAAGATGTAATAGAATATCCTGGCAAATTAATCTTAGAATACTAATTTATAACAGAAATTTCTAAATATTTAGACATTTTAATTTTTTTTTGAGACAAAGTTTTGCTCTTGTTGCCCAGGCTGGAGTGCAATGGCGTGATCTGAGCTCATCACAATTTCCATCTCCTGGATTCAAGCTATTCTCCTGCATCAGCTCCCAACTAACTGAAATTACAGGCATGTGCCATCACACCCAGGTAATTTTGTATTTTTAGTAGAGACGGGGTTTCTCCATGTTGGTCAGGCTGGTGTCAAACTCCCAACCTCAGGCGATCTGCCTAACTCAACCTCCCAAAGTGTTGGGATTATAGGTGTGAGCCACCACACCTGGACTGAAATATTTTTAATGTGTAGATTCTTAATTTTACTACCTGGTACTACTGAATCAAAAATTAAGGTGTGGGCAACTATGTTTTATGCCAGTAAATTTGTGGAACTACCATTAATCTAGAATGAAGGACACAGATCAGCTCAGAAATGTGGAAAGTTCAGGTCAAGATAAAACATCTACATGAGGTTTCGATTCCCCTTGTTGAAGGCTCCCTCCCTTCCCCTCCCTGGTGGTCACAGGGCTCCCCTCAGCTGGGCCTAGCAGTAGCAGCAGCTGCTCCAGCGGATGTCTCTTCCCCCCCAGCTTCCCCTTCCCTCCTCTCCCCTCCTTGTGCCTGGTGCTGGCCCGAGACGGCTCCGCAGCGTTCCCGCCAAGCTCCAACCAAGGTGCCTGGCTGGGGTGGGGACCTTGGCTCACCTAGGGCCATTTCACAATTCTGAATCATGTCTGATAAAGCAGAAATGGAAGACAAGCCTCCAGCACCTCCGGTGCGAATGAGCAGTACCATTTTTAGCACTGGAGGCAAAGACCGTTTGTCAGCCAATCATAGTTTGAAATCTTTGCCCTCTGTTCCAGAGGAGAAAAAGCCCAGGAATAAAATCATCTCCATATTCTCAGGCACAGAGACAGGAAGTAAAAAGAAAGAAAAGGAATGGCCAGAAATTTCTCCTCCATCTGATTTTGAACACGCTATCCATGTTGGCCTTGATGCTGTTACTGGAGAATTCACTGGCATGCCAGAACAGTGGGCTCGATTACTACAAACTTCCAATATCACCAAACTAGAGCAAAAGAATCCTCAGGCTGTGCTGGATGTTTTACAGTTCTACGACTTCAACACAGTGAAGCAGAAATATCTGAGCTTCACTCCTCCTGAGAAAGATGACTTCCCTTCTGCAGCACCACCACTGAATGCCAAGGGATCAGAAACATCAGCAGTAGTGACAGGGGAAGATGATGATGATGAAGAGACTGCTCCTCCTGTTACTGCCCCAGGACCAGATCATACAAAATCCATTTACACACGGTCTGTAATTGACCGTTTCTGCACCAGTTGGTGATTCAAATGTTGATGGTGGTGCCAAGTCTTCAGGCAAACAGAAAAAGAAGACTAAGATGACAGATGAAGAGATTATGGAGAAATTAAGAACTACTGTGAGCATAGGTGACCCTAAGAAACAATATACAAGACATGAAAAAATTGGACAAGGGGCTTCTGGTACAGTTTTCACTGCTACTGACTCACTGGGACAAGAGGTTGCTATCAAACAGATTTACAGAAACAGCCAAAGAAGGAATTGATCATTAACGAGATTCTGGTGATGAAAGAATTAAAAAATCCCAACATATTTAACTTCTTGGACAATTACCTAGTAGGAGGTAAACTGTTTGTGGTAATGGGAGTACCTTGCTGGTGGATCACTTAGTGATGTTGTAACAGAAACCTGCATGGAGGAAGCACAGATTGCTGCTGTATGCAGAGACTGATCTATTTTACATGCTAATCAAGTGATCCACAGAGACATCAAAAGTGACAATGTACTTTTGGGAATGGAAGGATCAGTTAAGCTTACTGACTTTGGTTTCTGTGCCCAGATCACCCCAGAGCAAAGCAAAGGCAATACCATGGTCAGAACACTATACTGGATGGAACCAGAGATGGTTACACAGAAAGCTTACGGCCGTAAAGCTGACATATGGTCTCTGGGTATCATGGCTATTGAGATGGTAGAAGGAGAGCCTCCATACCTTAGTGAAAATCCCTTGAGGATCTTTTACCTAATAGCAATTAATGGAATCCCAGAACTTTAGAATCCAGGGAAACTTTCCCCAATATTCCAGGATTTCTTAAATCGATGTTTGGAAATGGATGTGGAAAAAAGGGGTTCAGCCAAAGAATTATTACAGCATCCTTTCCTGAAACTGGCCAAACCACTATCTAGCTTGACATCACTGATCATGGCAGCTAAAGAAGCAATGAAGAGTAACTGTTAACATCACTGCTGTGGCCTCATATTCTTTTTCCCATTTTCTAAAAGAAGCCTTTTAGTATATGAAAATTATTACTCTTTTTGGGGTTTAAGGAAACGGTCTGTATAACCTGGATGAAAGAAGGAAATGAGGCCGGGCGTGGTAGCTCACACCTGTAATCCAAGCACTTTGGAGGCCAAGGCGGGCAGATCACCTGAGGTCGGGAGTTCAAGACCACCCTGACCAACATGGTGAAACCCCGTGTTAGAAAAAATAAAAAATTGGCCGGGTGCGGAGGCTCAAGCCTGTAATCCCAGCACTTTGGGAGGCCGAGGCGGGTGGATCACGAGGTCAAGAGATCGAAACCATCCTGGTCAACATGGTGAAACCCCGTCTCTACTAAAACTACAAAAAATTAGCTGGGCATGGTGG